ACGGTTTAGAGATAAATAATGTAAGGATAACTATAGATTGCATAACTTATGCACCAGGTTAGATGTTTAACATGTAGAAAACTTATTTAAAATGTATGTGCGATTCGAATGATTCAAATTGTTCAGTTTATTTGCCGCTAGGTGGCGTCCACACCAGCTGCCGTAATTCCCGCATGAGAGTAAGTGAGGCTGCTGGCATATATGCTCCAGCGGTGATCAACTTATCGAACGGAATAACTTGCTGTGTGATTTATTCTGTTCGACGAGTAAGTCGTGATCGTGTCGAAAAAAGAAAAGCCAAATGTGTTATTAATAGGAGACACCAATCATGAGAAAATCCAAAAAGAGAAACGCCAAAAATGAGTTAAAACAAGTAAAATTCAACAATAACTCGAGGAGCAAATATATGCTGCAAGCTCGATTAGTCAATAAAATTAACAATGTGCACTGAGAAACTACTCGAGTATATTTTCACAATGAGAAAAGATGAAAGGCACCGTATACGTTGATGAGAGCTAGCTTGAGAGTCGGTTCGGTCTTCGGCGATGATGTTGCCTGGGGAAAGACGGACGGGTCTCGGAAATAGTATAGAGACGCTTAAATTCCTCTGCTCTCGAGTCGAAGTCTCGAGAAGCTCTCTATAAATTTATTTCAATTGTTCTTACCAACTAAAACCGTTACATCCCTTTCTCTTATTTTCGTACGCGTTTGTTTACAAATTGATCAATCGTCGACGCGTACCGGCGCCTTAACTTACACATACATCAACGTATTGCAACGAAGTGCTGGTCAATGAAGGACACAGCAGCTTACCTTTGCACCTCAAATCAAAGCAAAAGGTGTTTACACTTTGTTTGACTTCGCATGAAGCGTTTGAGTACTTTTGGTGGTTATTTTATTCATAGATTTACGATGGTACTTCAAAATTTTGTTACTATTCTTAAATCCCAAGTCAACGTCTTTCATCTGCGGCAAGCTTTTACAATAAGCACGCTTAATCACTGCGTAATCACTTTTTTCCAACGATAATAACACATTGCGAGTTGCGAATCGATAATTGTGCCGCCATAGTTGTTGAAATTTCGCGTGGAAGCGTTTAACAGTTAGTTCCGTGAAAAAAACCGCTAACGACATCATGTACCCCATGAGAAGCAGAAAAAAGACATTCTTGTGAGAATTGTCCTCCAGTCTGTTTGTTGAAATATTATTTTCAGTAAATCCTGACACGTGTAACTGCTTTTGTTGTGAGTTTTTCCACAATCGGGCAATTCCCGACTCTTGGGCGACGCGGATTATTCGATTGAAGCTCGGTGTATAGGGTGAACCTTGGCGCATGACTAAGACCTGAAAGGTCGACCAGAAACAGGGGTTGGCCTGTTTCATCCACCTGCTATAGCGCGACAGCAATGCTAAAATCCTGAACTCTCCCATAACGCAGCTGACGTTAGCGTAGTTGAGCAGCCAGTCCAAGCACGTCACCTTGTCCGTGAATTGGACTGCTTTTTTGCCCAATCTGCGCATATATTATATATATTTAGCAAGTTAAATGGAGTTAAAAAGGTGCTATTTCAGTCAATAATTCATGTGCACATGACAGTATCTCTGTTATTACAGTACAGTATTGTTATGTAAGGCTTACATTGTAAGCATAATATTAATATTTTACAAGGTGTCTTGTGAGTATGGAATTTTCTGGAAATCTTAAGAGCAAGCATCCAAGTATTGAAAATAAATTTTTCTTTTGACTGCTAACATCATTAAACCCATTAGATCGAAATTTATTCTGCCTTTTCATCGATTAGATGAAAATATGCCAACCTGCCTTATACTGGCGACATAAAAAGAGATTTGATGCCCAAATGCGACCCACAATACCGGGTACACGAGTTTATGCGGAGATGAGCAGCACCGCAGTTAACCAAATTGTAAAAAACAACCATATACTAATCGATATAAACCCTACGCAAAAAAAAACCAGCCACTGAACCAGTTACCTTGTATCAGATTTGTTTTCCCACATAATTATTTTATAATTCCGCGTGAAAATGACAGAATAACGACAATCTTAACTTTTCACTCTCATTAGTCATCCAACTCTCTGGGGTCAGAAATTCACCTAAATTTCTGATTGGTAATTTTTTATTTCGGTACCTTATGACGTATATTTTGATTATTTTCGGATAAAAACGAATGAGATTTTGAAGATGAATTAGGCGTAATGGTCTAGTAAATGGGCTATTATTTGGTACATTTTCAAAAGTATTTCCGTATATTTCATATTGGAATATGAACGCAAAATTTTTTCAAATCTGCAGTAAAGAAAAGGGTTTGTAGTTTTGCAGTTATGTTCAAAATCAAATTTAAGATCAACGAGAAATTTAATATTTCTCGTTAAAAGTAAGTAAGCTAAAGAGTTTTTTAATTTTTTTTGCATTTTCTCTACAAGATTTCCAGGAGTTCCCATACTTTTGACACACTCTGTATGCACCTGCGTAAGTCAGGGTCGTCACTATCTCCGAAAGTTATGTTCATCAAACTGGGATCTATTACCGGTTTGAGGCCCGATTCGTCCAGATCACCGTACGTCTCGAATCTCTTGTGGGCTTCAATGTTGAAATTCAGTCCGGTCAAGTGGGCGAGCATCGTCGACGAGTAGAACGAGGCCACCAGCAGGACGCATCCGAAGAGAAGTCGCTCCCGAAATGTGACAGCTCGGGCCGTAATCGGTGTGCCCATCATCATTAGGCATATGTCCAGCGGTCTCCATTGCAATAATGGCAAAGAAGCGCCACGACGACGAATCAGCAGCAAAGAAGATAGCCAGACTATGCTGACGAGACCGAGAATCACAAGCAGCGACCATTGGACGCTGCTGCTCAGCTGAAAAGCCAATTTTTTTCTCATGACCGGTACCACAGCGCACAGCTGCTCCCACGCAATAGTAGTCGTTACGTACGTCTGTATTGCATATCAATTATAAATTATAATATACGAGTCATCGATTTATACCAATTTTCCAATTTTCATCGTACCGGAAAAGTTGTATTTAGATTGTAAGTTAGATGAGCTCCACTAGCATAAACGTCCAGGTGACGCAACGAAATGATCTCTTGTACTGTGTCCGAGATCGAGTCGTTGTGCAACAGGTGACTGATATCCGAAACCGGAATCGAATCCAGCTCAACGCTGAAATTTAAATTGCGCTGAATCGTGGAAAGCAACTGGTCAACGAAGGCCTCGATTTTTTGCGAATCCCGGCTGTGCAAAGAATGGAGCGGATTTTGCACGAATCCAAAGCGTAGCTCGTGGCCGTGAAGATCGTTGAGTTTCGTGGGAAATATTATGCTCGATGAGTCAAGGGGTTGATTCGTATAAACACGCGTGAAGGGATTGTATTGGTGAATATTCAAGGCGTAGTCCACCTTGCGATGCATTATCTCGATTTTATGAAGATGCTTGGAGACACTCGACGAGATGCCGATAATTGTCACGTCGACTAATTGCTTTTGCCAAAATTTTTCCAATAAATCGAGGTAACTTCCCGTAAAGTTGGTGTTACGATTTAACATTATAAACAATACTCGAATTGGTGCTCGAAAATTCAACGTTAAACCCTTGAGATTTTTCACGAAACTTTCGTCGACGTCATCCTCTACCCCAACATAGAGAAAGAGGCTATTAGATTTTTGCAATAATACTGGCGCACTATCATCGTCGATGTCAATCCAGGTGCAAGGCAGTCGACTCACGAAACTCGAGTATATACAGTTTTCTATCTTTTCCGATGATTCGCTGCTCTTCTGGTGCTTTTGAAAGTCACCTCGATTCAAAAATAAAACCTGTTGAGCGTGAATCTGATCGACTAACGAATTTATCGGTAAGGAGTACTGAACACACGAATTCACGGAAACAATCATGACCAAGCACGAGCAATAAATTCGAATCAACTTCATTTTCATGCGACTGTCAGGTATACCGACTTAAAAAATAAATAAGGAAAAAATAAAGAGACGATGCAAGAAAAAATCAATGATGGTTTAATCGATTCGCCTTAACAGTAGGTTATTTGCACTGTGATTAGTAAAAGGTGTTACACGGAATTATCGCGTAAGTAGTCTAGGGTGTCAGGTGTGTAAATAGAAGCTCATTAAAATCATTAAGAATACAACGCGCAGGACACTACTTATAGTACCATGATTAACAAGTATTCAATTATGTATGAGACATTTCAGGTTAACTGACGCAGCGCGTCATTGTCGTTGTGCGGCTCAAATAAGTGAACACTTGAAAATTAACAAAATGTATTCATAAAATTCCGCTTTCCAATTATGAGTTTGGTAGTTAATGTTTAGTTTTTCGGATGAAAAAAGAAAAATGATCGAAAAATGTGACTACGCCATTGAAAAGCTGAAGTAAAAACATTGAAATTATGAATTATTTTTTGATACTTTTCGATAGAGTAAGAAATTAAACGATTTTGCTTATTGGAGCCAAACCCTTGTTTGACCTCATGTTTTCTTTTGCACTGAACTTGTAATTTTGATAAATTATTCGACACTAAATAATATGACTCTTTGTTCGAAGTCAAAAGTCTTCCCCTCGTACTTTGTTGTTCGTTAGGCTGCAACAATCTTTTCTCGAATTTCTCACTTCTCTTTATCGTATAACTTCTGTAAATTCTTAGAAGTAATGTATCACTATACAGCCAACATACCTTACTGACGCAGCGTCGTCGAGTCGTTTCATTTCACCGATAAAAACACTATGTGTTTATTTTACGAAAGGGTTTTGAATATACATACTCGAGATTCAACGCATTTCGCCTTTTACCGTCGAACGAATCGACAAAGAAACAAATTGGCGCGCACTCGTTTTTCCTTCTCCCGCTTTCAAATCAGCCGCGGCAGCACAACACACACACACTAACACACACACGAACATTTCTACCGAGGCGAGCTGACTCATTGCGCGGTGAATACATGTATAGCCGTTTGGTCGCTGCAGCAGTCAAGCAAATATTTCTGCTCGACGGGTCGTGCCTTGCGCGAAACAAGCGACTACCTGTCAATTACGTAGTTGATCGTAATATCGGAAATTTCGTTTCTCCGATACGGTTCGTCATCTTGGACGCCTGGACCGATGGTTTTTTCGTGAGTACTCATTTTTACCTACCTATCGATCGCCGTATTATGACAACGTTCGAGGCGAATTTTAACGTTAAATGTCGCTGCGAAAATTTTGCACATAGGTTATGGCTCTTTGTTTTGGAAGGAGCGTCGAAACTACTTGTCGTTTTTGTGACCGATCGTTTCAATTTTTACATTTTTTTTTTTTCAGAGTGCTGTGATTTATTTTTACCGATCGATTGACACATTATAAAGATTCTTCGAAGAAAATTTTAAATATGTCGCATAAACACAGAGGAAAAGGAGCCTACAGTAAACATGGCAGAAGAGGTAATTGACTCGTATAAAAAATTATGACTTGGCTTAATGCAATGCAATATAAACGAATAATGAGTTTTCTATCTATTTTTAATGTAAACCTTGATAATATATTGCAGAAACTGATGACTTTCATCTATATGAAGGCTCAACTTCTGATAAATCAAGAGGACGCAAAGACAAGAGCGCAAAAGACAGAAGTCCTCACCGCAAAGATAAACAAAGTCACAGTGGTCCAAGCCATCCACCAGGATTAAAAGGCAAAGAAATAGGTTTATATTATAGGGATAAACAAAAGGCCAAAAATGCCAGGAAGGATGATACAGTTACCTTGAAGCTACATCCTAGTACAGAAAGGCAAATTAAAGACTTAATAGACGTTCCAAAAAGTTCCTACGATAAGCATTTTAATCTTAAGGATGTTGGTGATGATACTAGTTTTGAATCTAGATATAATCACATAAATGAATCTCAATTTAAAAAGAAATTCTTGAGTATAATAACTGGTACTCTGAATGAAAATCTGGAAAAAGCTTTAGCTGAAAAATCCAAATTAGTTAGAAATGAAAGATTAGATATACAGTTACTAGATGAATTAGCTGAGCAACAAGCCCAACCTAGGTATAAAAAAATGATGGAATTTCGTATGAAATTACCAGCTTACGAAAAGAAGCAAGACATAATAAATTTATTAAGTTCTAATCAAGTTATTTTAATTAGTGGTGAAACTGGTAAGAACATCATTTATTAATTTATTATTGATACATCTATTAATTTGATAATTTTTAAAATTGAAAAGGTTGTGGAAAGACAACACAAGTGGCCCAATTTCTTTTGGACTATGAACTCGAATGTGGAAGAGGTAGCACAACGAATATTATATGCACACAACCTCGAAGAATTTCAGCTGTGTCGGTGGCTGAAAGAGTTGCTGCAGAAAGGGCAGATAGACTTGGAAATTCAGTTGGATATCATATTCGTCTGGAACGGTATGCAAGTTTAATAAGTAATAACACCAATAAATAAATATCAGTAAGATATTGAATTGAATAACATTCTATTTCTATACAGAAAATTAGCAAGACCTTATGGCAGCGTCACATTTTGTACTACAGCTATGTTATTACAATTCTTACAAATGGATCCTGCATTGAAAAATTATTCTCACATAATTTTAGATGAAATTCATGAACGTAGTACCCAAAGTGACTTCATCATTACTTTATTAAAACAAATTTTACCCAGGGTAAGAAAGTTACATACTATTTGGCATTTAAAAATAAGAACAGGAGTTAATTTATGTTCGATTGCAGAGACCTACTCTCAAGCTTATACTGATGAGTGCCACGTTAAATTCTGAGCAATTTTCAAAATATTATGACAAATGTCCAACTTTGCACATCCCAGGATTTACATATCCAGTAGAAGAATATTACTTGGAAGATGTACTACATCTCACAAAGTAATAAATTTATAACTAAAAGTCTCAGAACACACATAATTTTAAATATTCTTTTCAGTTTCAAATTTGAAGAAAATATTGTATATACTAATGGAAAAAAACGCATGAAAAAACAAGAAGCGGCAAACGACACTTTTGAAAAATTCATTGGGCCTTATATTAGACAGTTGCAACATACAGTAAGATATTTTCGATATTATTAAAAGTAAAGTTTTTTCCTTTAAGAAATAGTGAAAAAAAAATTATTTCAGAAAAAGTATCCGCAAAGAGTTTTGGATCAGTTAAAAAATCCAAAAAGCGAAGAACTCTCGATTGATCTCGTCTTTGAATTAGTGAGGCACATTTGCTCACAGAGAAATAATCCTGGAGCAATTTTAATCTTTCTACCCGGCGTGATGGATATCACTAAATTGCATAGGCAGATGCAAGATAGTCATTTCTTCCCCTCGAGTAATTATTTAAAATTATGGCAAAAATTCAAAGTTCTTGAAACTTAATACTCATCCCAAATTATTTGATTCACAGGCAGGTACGATATATACCCGCTGCACTCGAGGATGCCTACCATAGACCAGAAGCGCGTGTTCCAAGTACCGCGCAACGAGGTGCGCAAAATAATCATCGCCACCTCGATCGCGGAAACGTCGATCACGATCGAGGACGTCGTCTACGTGATCGATTGCGGCAGAACGAAGCTTACCAATTTCCAAGTGAAGAATAACTTGGACACATTGGACTCGGAATGGATCAGCGAGGCGAACGCCCTGCAACGCAAGGGACGTGCTGGCAGGTAATGCAATCGGCAATTCAAGTGATTTGTGTTGTTGAATCGTCGAATAATAATTTTAAAATCATTGCGCAGAGTCAAAGCTGGAATCTGCTATCATCTTTACACGAAATGCCGAGCCGCTGCCTTCGACAAGTATCCTCTACCGGAAATGTTGAGAACGCGCTTGGACGAAGTCATATTGCAGGTGAAAATTCTCCAGATCGGCAAAGCTGACAGATTTTTAGCCAGTATGATGGACCCGCCAGAAGCCAAGGCGATCGATCTCTCGCTCAAATTATTGCGCGAACTCAATGCCCTGGACGAGAAGGAGAACCTCACTCCATTGGGCTATCACTTGGCTCGTTTGCCTCTCGACCCCAGAACAGGTAAACAATAGCGTTCGCTACCGATCTGCCGTTTTAAAATACGTAATACGATTTTGTTTTTTTTTTTTTTTAACTTTCTCATCACGCGCCGCTCGTCCTTCTTCTTTTGCGCAGGCAAAATGATAATTTGGGCAGCCATGTTCTCGTGCATCGATCCGGTCTTCTCCATAGCCGCCAGTCTGTCGTTCAAGGACGCCTTCTACTGTCCCATGAACAAGGAGGAGGAGGCGCGCAAGAAGAAGCTCGAACTGGGCCAGAATCAGTACAGCGATCACATCGCCCTGGCCGAGGCGCTGAGCACCTACGAGGAGCTGAGCTCGCAGCCCGGCAACGCCGCCTACAGCTTCTGCCGTAGGTACTTTCTGTCCTGGAACACGCTCAAGCTGCTGTCGGACATGAAGCAACAGTTCGCCCGCTACCTGTGCGAAATGAAATTCTTGGCCAACAGCAATCCGAAGGACGGCTCGGCGAATACCAATTCGCTAAACAAGTCCCTCGTCAAAGCCATTGTCTGCGCCGGCTTGTATCCGAACGTGGCCATTGTCAAGTGAGTCTCTCTCTCTCTCGGGCGCTCTTGCGAAGCGTGAATATAAAATAAGCTGAAACTCATTGCTTAATTGACGAACGGTGTGTCGTGTTTCTTTTCATGTTCTACGCAGAGGGGTCACGAAAGGCGGCGTCAGATGCGTGACTACGGAAGAAGAGAAGGTGAAATTGCACATATCCAGCATAAACGATAAAGCGCGCTCGTTTCCGAGTCCTTATCTCACTTACTACTTAAAAAGAAAGTCCACGGGAATTTTCTTGTTCGATACGACTTGCGTAAGTCCCTGGGCTTTGCTTTTCGCATCTCCTAATGCAAATGGCGCGATAAGTAAGAGTTTATCTTTTGATTTTTTCGTTTCGCCGTATCGCTCGTTATAATCAGCATTAACGTTTTATGATTGTAAATTTTTTCAGGTTCAAAAAGTAATAAGAGCATAATCAAACTAGGTCCTATGCTGCAATTTAATTGCGAGTCAGGCACTGCGCATATATTTCAGGTAAGAACTTCCGTCTACGTTATCCGATTCCGTCTCAATTTATACAGATAATTAATAATCGCATTATTTTCTCGCAGAAATTGCACAAAAAGCTCGACGCTTTATTAGAGAATAAAATTAATCATCCAGGAACCATCGACTGGAACAGTAACGAGGGTAATATTTTAAGGTACGATTAGATATGTTTCCGCGCATACTGCGAATTAGTAAAGATATTTTTAATTTGAAAAATGCATAATTTGTGGAATTTCAGGGCTATCATCCTGCTTTTATCAGTAGGCGATGAGAACATGGGCGTAGATTCCGGACGTTACGATTACTCCGTAACGTACGACGAAAATAGTGCATCCGATCTCGACGATTAGATTGAGTTATTGGAAGCGTATCGAAAGAAGAAAGGGAGAACAAAAATCTGTATTATTATTTTTGTAGAAAATAAGCTCGAACTTTTACTCCGTTCATACATTGTTACGAGTATTGTTGTCAGGCGCTTAATGGGGGTTCAACGATTCTACGAGTATTCGAAAATAAAAATAATTTTTCACTAAAACGCCAGAGATCGAGGAATTCATTTTTGTGCTTCGGATATAATGGGACATATTTTATCATATTATATGCATTGTATATATTTAGTTGCTGCGGCTGCGTGAAAACGCGTCACTGCCCGCTCGGCCGCGCCAAAAGCAAAATAACTGCAAGTGCTCGCGAAGAAAGCGCATATATATAATGTTACACACGTGTGTGCGTACGGGCTAGTCGTGCACATACACACGCATATGTATCGTTTTGTAAATTATAAAAGAGAAAGACGGATGTTTTCCTCTTGCACGGAGCCCCCGGCGCAGCGATACGCGCTCGAGTCAGCTCGCGCGACTGCTGTGCGTGTATATCTGCGCTCGCGGGGCCGGTCTTTATTATAGGCACGAGTGTAATATAGCGAGAGAGCTTTGAGACGCGTAGAGCTCTCCGCGAACGCGATGATAAGGAAAGAGCCTCGCGCGCGCGAACGAACTAACGCTTGGCAGGCAGCCGGGCGCGCGCACACATACGCGGGAGAAAGTTGATAACCTCAGACGCAAACAATGTGTTGTACTTGTTTCTCTCGACGTTGACCGCTGCCTGTGTAGCTACTCCAAGGCGCCGTTCATCTATCACACACAATATAAAGTTACGATTTTGTTTTTCTCATCGAGAGAGTCAACATTATTACGCGACGACTCCTCGTTTTTTTTTTTTTTTTTTTCATCGAACGAAAAGCCTCGACGACGATGGTGTGCATAATGTATAACGCGCAGCAGCAGAGTTTCCGCGCGTAATTCTTATCGTGTATAATGTTTACGCTATGTGTCACCCTGCCCCTTTCTCATCGGACGATTTTATAGGCAAATATATATCTATAATAATAAAACGCGCGTATTATTACTATACACTCGCTCTCTCTCTCTCTTTCTCGGCCTCCTCCGCACTCTGGGCATATGATGCACGTCCAGCAGAGTGAGAGGTGTTATCGCCTCGCAGGCATACATACACATTTTATTATTATCATTATTATTATTATCATTGTACACGCGTTTATATGCATGTATGTACGTACGTTCGCTCCGTCCAACTAGATGACAATTGTCGCTCGTGTACGAGCATGTACGAAAAAAAAAACATTAATAATTACACACAGCGGTCTGTAATACGTGTCGCCGTTTGCGAGAGAGAGAAAGAGCGAGAGTCTGCGTATATATTATACATATACGCCGCTGTTCCTCCGCAGAGCGCAACGAACCCGCGTAATATGTACACACATACGCGCACTGCCTGCACCGATACACGCAGCGCAGCTTACGTCGTGATTGTGCCGCAGTTACGATCTGTTGCGCGCGTACGTATACGCATACGTGCGCTTTAATGTATATTATGTACATCTACTGTGTTTATAAGGGAGCCTCTCGCTCGCTTTGACTCTTTGCGAATCAATTGCGAAGGGACATGTATGCGGAGGAGCATTTAGCTCGCTACGGTGCAAACGAGGCGTAATGAGCGTTCGTTGGGTGCGTGTGTGTATTTGCGCGTTGGCAGAGACGAACGAACGAACGAACGAAGGCAATGGGAAAGCGCATCGAGAGAGAGAGAAAAAAAAACACGAAATTGACAACGATAATCGCATTTCCTGCGTAAGTGTATTGCGCGCATCGCGTCTATATAGATGTAATATATCGTTCGCGTATATTTACAGAGACGGCTATACACCGTCGTTACCGCGGCGATGATGTGTCCCTTAGATATATCGCGTTTTATCGAAGCTCCGTCGCGAACGCGTGTAAATCGTCGGCGGTGAGTCGCGCGGACACGTGATGATTTAATTTTTGTTGAATTTTATGCGTATCTCAAATCGGTGAGATTTCTTGAGGATTAGCTGCGGGGGCTCTCTATAGGGATCAAGAGAGAGGACGACTCTCGAAAAATGATACACTCTCTCAAGGACTCTCGATATTAGACCCGGAATATTATCGTCAAAATCATTGTGTAATCCCCCAAATGTTTCTCGGTCGGTGGCAGCTGAACAAGAATCGAGACAGATGAAAAGGAAAAAAAAGAGGTAAAAATGTATATCTCGATTTTGACCCAAAAAGCGTGTAAAAGTATTATCTGGTTCGGGTCAGACGAGGAGGAGGAAAGATTCCTTTCGCAACGATCGTCATCATCGCGCTACTCGATTATTTACGCTCTTTTGCGTAATCGGCAGAAATCACCTTCTGTATAATAGGAGATGGAGAGATCCTTGTCGACGCTGTTAAAAAAAAGGTATTAATAGTCGAGAGATTTTTAAAATAAACTCGGACAAGATATAAAGCATAAAAAAATCGAAATTTCAAAAGTCGAAGAGCGCGCGTTATGTGTGGAGATTCTTTCAAAACTTTTGAAATATCGCGTGCCGATTCGGGATCGATTCGTAAGAAAGGGGAGAAACATTTTATATACGGTATTTGGCATTATAGGAGGAAGTATAGACCCCCTTACTCGTTGCAAACGAAATTTCATAATCGTTCAGATCGATACGTCGCGCGATCACATACTTTTGATCGACTCAACAATGACTATACAGAACAGCAGCTGCAGCTGCAAGAAACGGCTGTGCGCGCGCGACAAAAGGTGCGAAGCAATTTGGCTCTTTTAACCGAGCTTGTTCGAAGTATATTGTATATATCGTGCGAGTATGCGCGTGTACTTGAAAAAGCGCGCGCGACAGAGAAAGAGAGAGAGAGAGAGATAAAATTGTCTTTTTGCATGGCCCAAAGACCTCGATTCTCGATCGCGCGGAGTCGCAGAGACACAGACTCGCGGCTGCAAAACGTATATACTCGTTGGATTATACATATAAAAGCGAGCTCGGTCGAGCTGCCGCCGAGTGAGACATTATTATTGTCATTATATATGTTTTATAAAGATGACCGTGAACCGCAAGGACACCTCGCGCCGCGAAGAGCGACCGCGAGCGAGAGAGAGAAAGAGAGAAAAAGATAGTAACGCGGCCCGCGAACGCTGCTCTCTTTATTCAAATTATCTCGCGTACATACATGGTAGTATCTATGTGCGGTGAAAAAATTTTGATCTCGATCTCGCGCTCGTGCGAGTGTGCGTAAGTGTATATATTATGCGCTGCCACGTACCGCCACGCGTCGATAAGAGAAAGAGCGAGAGATGGAGCGACAAAAAAGAGGTGATAATTCAAGGATCCATTATCGAGATTCATCAAGGACGATCGACATTGCGCGCCCGAGAGAACACGTGCTCTCTCTCTCGTGTGTGCGGAGATCGAGTCAGCGAGAGGGAGGAAAAGAAATGTGCGTGTGGCAGCTAAGTAAAAATTTTTATGTTCACACGATTATATTCCCCGGGAATATGATAGGGTAGAGATCGTCAAGATTTACCTATCAAATATTCAGTATGTAATGCTTGTATAAAAATTGGACGCAAAAATCGGCTCGGTTCGCTTTGATAATCCACTCCACGTACGATGATAATTAGTAAATAACGCAAAGATTAATCAGTGTGTTCTAACACGCAATTCACGTTTCTCGATCATTCCCATCATTACATACGTTTACAAGAAAATTTGAAAGTATCCACACAATCAACCGCGATTGGACTGTTTTTTCATCAATCGACAGTGTGATGTACAGAGAAAAAGTACAAGCAATAAACCAAACGCAAACGCATGTATGTGCTCGGTAAATCCAAAGTGCATGGACACGATGCGCGGTGCAGTGCACTCTTCAATTCTCCATTATGATATACAGACGCGCGTTACATAGCGGAGCCTGCAACAGGAGCAATAGAGCTTACAATGTGTTTAATGCATCATAATGACTGGTAAGTAGTTGAAGTCCGTCTGTCTCTCTCTCTCGCGATATAGCCTTCCGGGTACGCACACGTACGCAACTCGCACACTCACGCATATATGATACATTAAAACTTGTCGTTTATTACGATCGTGTCGTATATACAAATGCTCTCGCGCTTCCAAGTGTATAAGCTGCGTACGACGTATGGGCAACGCTGCATTGCTCTCTTTATATCGTGTATGGTGAAATTATCGGTGAAAAAAGGTTAGTGGCTGCGCGCGACTATATCTGCTAGCAGTACTTCGTGTACGTACCTATATGCATAATATGTAATTTCGTGGTGCGCACATCGTGTGCGTAAGTTTATTTGCGGCACCTCGTATTTTTTAATAATATAATACCAGGGCGGCAGTGTGTGCACATTAGCTAATGGACGGAACTATTTTGCGCGCGAGCTGCCTTCTTACATCTAATTTATTCTCCCTCAATCTTTTTTCAACAATTACTTATCTCGGTTCCGATTCTTACGATAGTTGCTGGCGATCGATATTATACATATAAATAAATGGTAACATCGGCACTCCACAGTGTTGGATTACGGAGTACGCCAATCCCGCCATGGCGTGGGGGACGGCGAATTTGGGAATGAATATCAAATTTTTTCATTGTAAATCTATTTACTCGATGATTTTTGTTGCGAACTCAATGTTGTATAATGGAAGTTTTTTAAGAAGAACATAGTTTTGGAAGGGTAATAACTTCCTCGAAGGAGTGGTTGCCAACTTAGAATTTTAAATTGTTTCAAATTTTGTAACAGCAATGTATAAACGGATAGATTATAGTACCTTCGTGTAAACAATATGGTCATAAACAATTTTGACATTAGTCCCTCGACACACTGGTCATGTTTATAGTGAACATTAATTAGTTTTAATGCTGTCCTTCCCGACGAAACAAGCCATAACGCCAAACAGATCAATTTTACTTATTCAATTTTCGAGATAGAAGGACTCATCGTTTATTTTAAGCGCCAAAATGGATAAAAATGAGGAGAAAAAAAATTATTTCAGTGATCATGAAATTGTGGTTTCAGACGACAAACAACACGTTTGTGATATTTGCCACGAGGCATTTACACAAGAATCAATCATGTTAACACACCGCGACACAATTCACAATGAACGAAAAGATTTCGTATGTGACAAGTGCGAAAAGAAATTCGAGTTCCGAAGTCATTTAAGTAGACACCAAATATCGGTACACAAGGGCTCGAAAGATTTCTCATGTGACCAGTGCGAGAAGAAATTTTTGAAAACATCAAGTTTGTTAACTCACCAAAAATTAGTACACAAAGATTGTGCAGATTTCATTTGCAATAAGTGCGAGAGAAAATTTGAAAATAAATCAACTTTACTCAAGCATAATAAGATATTCCACGACATTTTCAAAGATTATTTGTGTGAAAGGTGCGCCAAGAGATTCGGAGAAAAACGAAGTTTGCTCGCGCACATAAAAACGATACACGATAGTGCGAAAGATTTTGCAGATGACAAGTGCGTAAAAAAGTATAAAAAACAAACGCATTCATACTTCCACTCGAAGACAGTACACGATGTCTTCAAAGATTACCAATGTAAACATTGTGATAAAAAATTTGGATATAAAAGGAGTTTGCTAAAGCACCAAAAAATAATCCACGAGGGTCGGAGAGATTATGAATGCGACAAGTGCAAGAAGAAATGTGGACAAAAATCGGATTTGTTAAAGCACCAAAGTACAGTCCACGAAGATCGCAAAGATTACACATGTGACAAGTGCGAAAAAAAATTTGGATTCAAATCCCATTTACTCCATCACCAAAAAACTGTTCACGAAGATCGCAGAGATTACTCATGTGACAAATGCGAGAAAAAATTTGGAAAAAAAATGGCATTTGATAGAGCACCAAAAAACAGTCCACGAAGGTCGCAAAGATTACGTATGCGACGAATGCGAGAAGAAATTTGGACTAAAATGTCACTTGCTCAGACACCAAAAAACAGTGCACGAGGGTTGCAAAGACTTCACATGTGACAAATGTGAGCAGAAATTTGGACAAAAAGGCAATTTATTACAACATCAAAAAATAGTTCACGAAGGGCGCAAAGATTTTGCATGTGACAAATGTGAGAAGAAATTCGGACGAAAAGCCGATTTATTCGTGCACAAAAAGACAATACACGAAGGTCGAAAAGATTTCACATGTGACAAGTGTGAAAAAAAATGTGCACAGAAATCGATTTTGCTCTACCACCAAAAGACTGTACACGAAGGTCAGAAAGATTTTGCATGTAATAAGTGTGAGAAAAAATTTTGGCAAAAATTACATCTGCTTTTCCACCAACAAACAGTCCACGAAGGTCGCAAAGATTATGTGTGTGAAAATTGCGAAAGGAAGTTTGGACTAAAATCGAATTTGTTAAAGCACCAAAAGATAATACACGAAGGACGCAGAGATTACCCATGTAAAAACTGTGAGAAGAAATTTGGACAAAAAATAGATTTGTTTCGGCACCAAAAGTCAGTTCACGAACTTCGCAAAGATTACTCATGCGACGATTGCAGAAAAAAATTTGTAAATAAATGGAACTTGCTCATACACATAACTACAGTTCATGAGGGTCGGAAAGATTTTGCATGTGACAAGTGTAAGAAAAAATTTGGACAAAAATCGCATTTGGTTTTCCACCAACAAACAGTTCACAAATGACATAAAGATCACGCATGCGACAAGTGTTAAAAAAAATTCGGATATAAATATAGTTGGCTCATGCACATAAAAATAGTTCACGATGGTTGCAAAAATTTCTCATGCGACAAATGCGAGAGAAAATTCGGACAAAAGGAGCACTCACTCTTGCAGGTGGCAAAAATTAAGCATGGCACAAGTGCGAAAAAAAATGATGATTGACAATTTTAAATATGTATTACAGATATTCGTACATATGTTATTCTAATATTTCAATAAAAATTGTGCTGAAATAGTTGTGTATTATGTGAACCTCGGACGTTCAACTCCACTATCATTACATCTTCGTTCATTGTCATTGTGCTTCATTTTTAACCAAACGACTATTAATTGCCATTCTCCATGTACTTTTTGGCTTATGCAACGTCAAGCCGAGAATTTTTTCACTTCTGGTTTGGAGCTGTGAATAGGGCGAGCATTTAGCTGCCTACAGAATTTTTTTATAAACCTAACGAAATTACCCTCTTCTGCAAATTGATCAAATCTTTGTTAGTGAACGATTCAGATAAATTTACTCAATTAATGATAAAATTTAAATTTAAAAATGTTTTTTTAAATTTCTTAAAAATTATTGAGAGACCTCGTGATTAAATTAGAATGGCGTGAGACCAAAAGCAAGTTCGAGTGGGGGAGACACTTTTTCTAATCTACCACTGCGGCCTTCTACAAAGGGCAGTTACTTATTCTAACATTTTAGAGTCGATGAACTCGAGAGGTTGATTGATCGCATCTGAATGGGTTTTCTAAATGGTCGTATCTAAATAGTCTAGCTATAGTAATGCACTGTTAAGGAGTGAATTTCATCTCCAGGTCATTAAATGTAGTGAACATTTTTGTGTGGACTCCTCGTACCTAATGACAAAGCTCCCAATAGTTAGTTGACGTTTTTAATATTATTTAATGTTACAAAATACCGCGTAATAGCATATCGTGGTATCAGGCTAAAACAGTCAAGACAAACTGATTAAAAAGTATTGGTACTAGTAAAGGCTTGTAAACACCTTAAACTCCCAATTTTTATTGGATTTTTGAATAGGATTTTTTCCCCCCTTTTCATTGCATTACTCTAAATTCCAAAACTTTGATTTTGTACTGAGATACAGCTGTTTCCGTGAGTCTTTTTCATATACTTTACGTGTAAAATTTTTTCAATACTTTGGGCCACTACTACGGATGAGATGATCGAACGCGCAGATTGCTCTGTATGAGCAGTTCAGCACACATTTCTTTTCATTTTACCTTATTGCCGAAATGTAAGTCATAAAAGTACTGTTTGAGAGTGACCTATGAGTTCGATCGTCTCACCCGTAGTAGTGTCCATAACCATTCATGTTCTGAAAAAGTGTACTCGACCTTGGTGATGAAGCTCAATCGGTACCCTTTTAAAAATACGACAAATGACCAAAAACACTACTCGCTAGAAAACGCAATAGAAGAAAAAATGTAGCTCAAATTGGTCCGCTCTTTAAGACTTGCACAGTAAACCAATTGTGTTAGTGTTTATTTTTTGAACAAGTATTTAAAATTTGAAAAGGTCAAAGTACCAATACTTTTCAATCAGTTGAAATTGACAGTTTGAACCGGATACCATGATATGCTATTATATGGTATTTATTAACATCAAATAATATTAAAAACTTCATCATGCTTAATATGGGGGTTAAAGGGCCCATTGGTTCAAACTAACTACAGGGGGGCTTCATTGCAAGGTACGAGGAGTCCACAAAAACAATTTCACTGCATTTGATGACCTGGAGATCAAATTCACTCCTTGTAAGTCTTGGAAGGCCAGAAAATTCCTCGAAGGAATCGTCGCTACGTTCGATTTCTAAATTAATTTCAAATATTGTTAGGATAATGTATAAACAAAAAGATCGGTACTTTAATTGTGAACAATATATGATCATAAACCTTTTTGACATTAGTCCCTTCATAAACTGATTATGTTTATAGTAAAAACAAATTAGTTTCGATGTTGTCTTCGACCGATGACACAACACATAATACCAAAAGATTAATTATACTTGTTCAATTTCCGTAGTACTAAATAGAAAGAATTCAACGTTTAATTTAATCACGAAAATGGATAAAACTCAGAATTTCAAAGTAGTTACCTCGGAAAATAATTTAAGTGAACACGACGTAGTAGTTTCGAACGACAAACAACACTTCTGTGATATTTGTAAGGATGAATTTAAACTGGAATCGAGCTTGATAACACACCGAGACACAATTCACAACGAACAAAAAAATTACGCGTGTGATCAGTGTGACGAGAAATTCGAGTTCCGAAGTCATTTGAGTGGACACCATATGTCAGTACACAAAGGCCGCAAAGATTTTGCGTGTGACAGCTGTGAGAAGAAATTTGTAAAACAATCGAGTTTGTTTACGCATCAAAAATTAGTACACAAGGATCGAAAAGATTTCTCATGTAACAAATGCGAGAGGAAATTTGAGAATAAATTAATTTTAATGAAGCATAAAAAAATATTTCACGAAGTTTTCAAAGATTATTTATGTGAAAAGTGTGGGAAGAAATTTGGAAATAAACATCGTTTGCTCGTGCATATAAAGACAGTGCACGAAAGTCATAGAGATTTGGCCATTAGAGTCCTCAAAGATTACTCATGCGACGATTGCAGGAAACAGTTTGTAAATAAATGGAACTTGCACATACACATAACTACAGTTCATGAGGGTCGAAAAGATTACGCGTGTGATAGATGCGAGAAAGTATTTAGACAAAAATATTATCTGCTTGTGCACCAGAAGACAGTACACGAGGGTCGTAAAGATTACGCGTGCGACGAATGCGATAAGAAATTCGGAGTAAAAGTACAATTGCTTTTTCACCAACAAGCAGTCCACGAAGGACGTAAAGATTACGTCTGCAACCTGTGCGAGAAAAAATTCGGACAAAAATCGGATTTGATAAAGCACCAAAGGACAGTTCACGAAGGTCGGAAAGATTTCGCTTGTGACAGGTGTGAGAAGAAATTTGCACAAAAACAGAATTTACTTTTACATCAAAAGACAGTCCACGAAGGTCGAAAAGATTACGCATGCGACGAATGCGAGAAGAAATTTGGACTTAAACAGCATTGGCTTGTCCACCAAAGGATAGTCCACGAGGGTCGCAAAGATTACGCATGCGACAAATGCGATAGGAAATTTGGACAAAAAGTACAATTGCTTTTTCACCAGCAAACAGTCCACGAAGGTCGCAAAGATAACATATGCAACATTTGTGAAAAGAAATTTGGACAAAAATCGGATCTGCTAAAGCACCAAAGGACAGTTCACGAAGGTCGCAAAGATTTCACTTGTGACAAGTGCGAAAAAAAATTTGGATTTAAATCAACTTTGCTCTTACACCAAAAAACAATACACAAAGGTCACAAAGATTACGAATGTGACAAGTGCGAGAAAAAATTTGGATTTAAACAGCAAATGCTTGTTCACCAAAGTACAGTCCACGAGGGTCGCAAAGATTTTGCATGCAACAATTGTGAGAGGGCATTTGGAACAAAATCGAATTTATTTAAGCACCAAAAAATAGTTCACGAAGGTCGCAGAGATTATGCATGCGATCTATGCGAGAAAAAATTTGGACAAAATGCACATTTGATCAAGCATCAAAAGACAGTCCATAAAAGTCGCAACGATTAAGCATGGCACAATTGCGAAAAGAAATAATGATTGACAATTTTAAATATGTATAGATACTCAAAGTTTTTCTAAAATTTCAATAAAAATTTTGCCATTTGAGTAATTACGTTGAGCCAAGCTGGAATTCTGAAAATAAGTTAAAAATATTCATGTTATTGCTTTCCCATAAAGGAAGCTATGTGATAGGCTTAAAAATGAGATTGTTTCGCGAGAGGATAATAAATGATTTTTCTCTAGCCAATTTAACAGAACAAAAAAATAATAAATTTATGAACGAAGTTCTCGTCGGTAATTCGACGTTGCTTGACGGCGAAAAAAGCGAGTGACGCGCAACTGTGTCGAGAGCTTGACGGGCTTTCGTGGTCCAGCTTCGACCGTCCGATTTGGCTGTAAAGCGGCGACTAACTCGATACACACAAAATAAATATTCTTTTAGGGATACTTCTTTTATCAAGCGCCCCACACAAACGCGCCTCACATGCCAAAACTTAACAATAACTCAACAGAGATTTCGAACCAGACGTAGAAGGAAAATTTGTTTTGCATATTTGGTATAGAAAATATATTGAGTTCTCGCACGTTTTCATTCTCAGTAGCACTGAAAAAATGAGCTGGGCCACCGATGACGGCAGGATAACACTCGTATCGACTGCGTAGGTGATTCGGCAGATCATACCCACGAAGTGTTTTATTTTCTTCTTTTTCTTCTTCTTCTCACTTATCAACTTCCAGTTGGATTGAAAGACTGATCATTGATAGTGTCAACTCCAAAAACTTGTTACGAGCAGTCTTTTGGAATTTTGACGATGTTGTAGTCTGAACGTTTATTAGTGCGAGTTTTCAAGTCTCTGAATAATACGTTATTTTTCCCGCGTGGTACTATAAAGTACCCTTCATAAACTGACTATGTTTATAGTAAATACAAATTAGTTTCAATGTTGTCTTCGACCGATGACACAACACATAATACCAAAAGATAAATTATACTTGTTCAATTTCCGTAGTACTAAATAGAAAGAATTCAACGTTTAATTTAACCTCGAAAATGGATAAAACTCAGAATTTCGAAGTAGTTACCTCGGAAAATAATTTAAGTGAACTGGACGTCGTAGTTTCGAACGACAAACAACACTTCTGTGATATTTGTCAGGAGGAATTTACACTGGAATCGAGCTTGATAACACACCGAGACACAAATCACAACGAACAAAAAAATTACGCGTGTGATCAGTGTGACGAGAAATTCGAGTTCCGAAGTCATTTGAGTGGACACCATATGTCAGTACACAAAGGCCGCAAAGATTTTGCGTGTGACAGCTGTGAGAAGAAATTTGTAAAACAATCGAGTTTGTTTACGCATCAAAAATTAGTACATAAAGATCACGAAAATTTCACATGTAACAAGTGCGAGAGAAAATTTGAAAATAAATTAATTTTACTGAAGCATAAAAAAATATTTCACGAAGTTTTCAAAGATTATTTATGTGAAAAGTGCGCGAAGAAATTTGCAAATAAACATCGTATGCTCGTGCATATAAAGAGAGTGCACGAAAGTCAGAGAGATTTGGCCCTTAAAGTACTCAAAGATTACTCATGCGACGATTGCAGAAAAAAATTTGTAAATAAATGGAAATTGCTCATACACATAACTACAGTTCATGAGGGTCGAAAAGATTACGCATGTGAAAAATGTGAGAAGAAATTTAAACTTAAACAGCATAGGCTTGTCCACCAAAGGATAGTCCACGAGGGTCGCAAAGATTACGCATGTGAAAAGTGTGAGAAGAAATTTGGACTGAAACGTGATTTGCTTATCCACCAAAGGACAGTCCACGAAGGTCGCAAAGATTTTGCATGCGAACAATGCGAGAAGAAATTTACACAAAAACAGAGTTTACTCATCCACTTAAAGACAGTACATGAAGGGCGGAAAGATTACACATGTGACAAATGCGAGAAGAAATTTGGATATAAATCGGATTTGTCAAAGCATGTAAAGGTAGTCCACGAAGGTCGCAAGGATTTTGCATGCGACCATTGCGAAAAGAAATTCACAGGAAAAAAAAATTTGTTCGTACACATAAACACCATTCATGAAGGTCGGAAAGATTACGGATGCGACAAGTGCGAGAAGAAATTTGGACAAAAATCGAATTTATTAAAGCACCACAGGACGGCCCACGAAGCTTGCAAAGATTACGCATGCGACAGGTGCGCGAAAAAATTTACAGAAAAAAATAGTTTATTAAGACATGTAAAGACAATCCACGAAGGTCGCAGAGATTATGCTTGTGATAAGTGCGTGAAGCAATTTACAACAAAATCGTATTTACTTTTACACCAGAATATCGCCCACGAAGGTCGCAAAGATTTTGCATGCGATCAATGCGAGAAAAAATTTGGACAAAATGCACATTTGATCAGGCATCAAAAGACAGTCCATAAAAGTCGCAACGATTAAGCATGGCACAATTGCGAAGAGAAATAATAATTGACAATTTTAAATATGTATAGATACTAATAGTTTTTCTAAAATTTCAATAAAAATTTTGCTATTTGAGTAATTTGTTAAGCCAAGGTGGAATTCTAAAAATAAGTTAAAAATATTCATGTTATTTCTTCCTCATAAAGGAAGCTATGTGTCGAGAGCTTTGCAGGCTTTCATGGTCCTGCTTCGACTATCCGATCCGGCTGTAAATTGGCGACTAACTCGATACACACAAAATAAATATTTTATTGGCGCTACTTCTTTCATCAAGTGCCCCACAAAATCGCGCTTTACTTGCCAAAACTTAACAATAACTCAACAGAGATTTCGAACCAGACGTAGTAGGAAAATTTGTTTAGCATATTTGGAAAATATATTGAGTTCTCGCACGTTTTCATTCTCAGTAGCACTGAAAAAAATGAGCTGTGACACCGATGACGACAGGATAACACTCGTATCGACTGCGTAGGTGATTCGGCAGATCATACCCACGAAGTGTTTTATTTTCTTCTTTTTCTTCTTTTTATTACTTATCAACTTCAAGTTGGATTGAAAGACTGATCATTGATAGTGTCAACCCCAAAAACATATTAAGAGCAGTCTCTTGGAATTTTGTCGATGTAGTAGTCTGAACGTTTATTAGAGCGAGTTTTCAAGTCTCTGAATAATATGTAATTTTTCCCGCGTGGTACTATAAAAATACATTGTGATTTATAATTCCAGTCATAATTTGAGTGAAATATTTTTGCCGAGTCAAGTTTCATTGAATGACCTAATACTGAGTATGGCCAATCTACGGTAGAGGGGGAAAGTATCGTCAAGGAGCTGCAGTGCCGACTGCAAGTGTTTACAAATTGGCGAATTCGAGTTACACTGTTGGCTGCTTGTGAAACTTAACCTTGAATATTTTCTTTGCTTTTATCGTGAAAATTCACATAATGAAGTTACAACTATAATCTAACAATATGGAAAGCCAAGAGGACCCAGTTAGGTATAACATGTTTTTTTGTACATGCCATGATTTATTTGAAGCGATCGTATTATCGGATTTGATTCTTTTTAGATGTTTAAAGCAAGAGCCTATCGATACTTGGCCAGATGTAGGCAACAATTATGATTTCGACTCAATAAACTCTTGCGAAGTCAAAAGCATTAGAAATGTCTCGATTTATAAATCATCAGTAAGTCCAGTGATTTGAATTATCTTCCAATTATCCAGCATCAAAAACTATCATACAATTTTAATTTCAGGCTAATTGCAAAAATGAGGTTATGTCATTACACGAAAAATCAGATAAAAAAATATTCATTGATTTTGAGTGCAAAGATGTAAAACCTGAACTGAAGCCTCCATCAAAAACGTTGTGTAAAACTGAGTATCAAAGTTTTTCATCTTTTGTAAAGATAGAAAACCAGAATGAGACTAGTTATTTGCGCGAAAAAAGTCTAATAATTCTGATTAAGAAAGGATTTAATTACGATGGTAATTATCAATTTCAAGAAAAGTCCAGATTGAATTATGAAGGATATAATAATGAGAAAGTATTAATAAGAAAAACATCTCAAACCAAATTATCTCACAATTATAATTTGTATCGAAAAACGCATAAAGAAAAAGCGAGTCTAAATGCACATATCAATACGACACAGGAGAACATTCGATCATGTGAATGTGATATTTGTCACAAAGCATTTGGACGCAAAGCTAACCTCAAATTACACACAAATGCAGTACATTATAAAAGCCAACCCTTTGAATGTAATGTGTGTCACAAATTATACGGTCGCAAAGTTACCCTCAGAACCCACATAACTACAGTTCACGATCTTTGCAGAACCTTCGAGTGTGACATTTGTCTCAGGACATTTGGGCGAAAATATGACCTCAAAAATCACGTGAATATAGTACATGATCGTAGCAAACCCTTCGAATGTGAGATTTGTCACAAATTATTTGGACAAAAATGTAATCTCAATAAGCACATAAGATCAGTACACTATCGTAGCAAGCCCTTTCAATGTGAGATTTGTCACAAATCATTTGGAGTAAAGGGTAACCTCACTACACACGTAAATACAATACATAATCGGAGCAAACTCGTGGAGTGTGACATTTGTCACAAATTATATGGTCGCAAGGATACCCTTAAAGCTCACATAAATGCAGTGCATAATCGTGCAGTACATAAACCCTTTGAGTGTGAAATTTGTCACAAATCATTTGGATACCAACAGGTACTAAAAGTGCACATAAATACAGTACACGTTCGTAGCAAACCCTTCGATTGTGAGATTTGTCACAAATCATTTGGACAAAAACAGCACCTTGAATGTCACATAAATATTGTGCATTATCAGAGAAAACCCTTCGAGTGTGAGATTTGTCACAAATCATTTGGACGAAAATATGACCTCAAAAATCATGTGAATGTAGTACATCATCATAGCAAACCCTTCGAGTGTGACATTTGTCATGAATCGTTTGGACAAAAACAGCACCTTGAATGTCACATAAATATTGTGCATTATCAGAGAAAACCCTTCGAGTGTGAGATTTGTCACAAATCATTTGGACGAAAATGTGACCTCAAAAATCATGTGAATGTAGTACATCATCATAGCAAACCCTTCGAGTGTGACATTTGTCATGAATCGTTTGGACAAATAGGAGCACTCAATAGACACATCAAATCAGTACATGATCGCAGCAAACCCTTTGAGTGTGACATTTGTCACAAATCATTTGGACTAAGAGGTAATTTCAAAACTCATGTAAATACGGTACACAATAGAAAAAAATCCTTTGAATGTGAGGTTTATCATAAATAATTTGTATACTAGAATGTACTCAAGAAGCAAATTAGAGTAGTACACAATTGAAGAAAACCTTTCGAATGGAAGATGTGTCGCAAATCATCTAGCCGCAAACAACACCTGGATGCTCATTTAAAAACAGTACATAATCATAGCAAACCCTAAGAGAGATTTGTCTGGAGACATTGGGACGCAATGAAAACTTCTACCATCACATGTATACTCCATGCAAATTTTGAAAAATAATTTACATAAATTTCTTTTGCAGAACAATAAAGTTTTTTAAACTGCTACTAATTTTTGTTTTTAATTGACTGTGAAAAGTCTTTTACTCACCTGTCTTACATTAACTAAAATGTAAAGAATATGTCTTAAATACCTATTGCCTATCGGTAAATCCTCACCTCTAAACTAGAATTATTCTAAAACTTTGCATTTTTTCAAATAATCACGATAAATCGGTACTTAAATTGTAAACAATATGATCATAAACCATTTTGACATTAGTCCCTTCATAAACTGATTATGTTTATAGTAAATACAAATTAGTTTCAATGTTGTCTTCGACCGATGACACAACACATAATACCAAAAGCTAAATTATACTCGTTCAATTTCTGTGACATCGAGTAAACTGATTCATCGTTTCATTCCGGCTTCAAAATGGATAAAAGTGAGAAGAAGATCGAGAAAGATGTCTCGGAAAATAACTTAAATCAACACCATATTGTTGTTTCAGGCGACAAACAACACGTTTGTGATATATGTCAGGAGACATTTACCCTAGAATCAATAATGATAACTCACCGAGATACAATTCACAATGAACAAAAATCTTACACGTGTGATGGGTGCGAAAAAAAATTTGAGTTCCGCAGTCATTTGAGTAGACACCAAATATCGGTACACAAACGCAGTAAAGATTTTGCATGTGACAATTGCGAGAAGAAATTTGTGAAAAAATCGAGTTTGTTCACGCATCAAAAATTGGTACACAAAAATCGTGAAGACTACTCATGCAACAAGTGCGAGAGAAAATTGGAAAATAAATTAATTTTACTGAAGCACAAAAAAATATTTCACGAAGTTTTCAAAGATTACTTGTGTGAAAAGTGTGCGAAGAGATTTGGAAATAAACAAAGTTTGCTGGTGCATATAAAGACAGTACACGACGGTCAGAAAAATTTTGCCTACAAAGTCTTCAAAGATTACTTATGTGACGATTGTGGAAAGAAATTTGCAAATAAACGGAGTTTACTCTTACACGTGACAACAATCCATGAGGGTTGCAAAGATTATGTATGCGACAAATGCGATAAGAAATTTGGACAAAAATCGAATCTGGTAAGGCACCAAAGGGCAGTTCACGAAGATCGAAACTTTGCATGCGGTAAGTGCGAAAGAAAATTTGGACATAAATCATATTTGTTGAAGCACCAAAAGATAGTACACGAAGGACGCAGAGATTACCCATGCAAAAACTGTGAGAAGAAATTTGGACAAAGCATAGATTTGTTTCGGCACCAGAAGACAGTTCACGAAGATCGAAAAGACTTTGCATGCGGTGAGTGCGAAAGAAAATTTGGAAATAAATCAGATTTGTTGAAGCACCAAAAGATAATACACGAAGGACGCAGAGATTACCCATGCAAAAACTGTGAGAAAAAATTTGGACAAAAAATAGATTTGTTTCGGCATCAAAAGTCAGTTCACGAACGTCGCAAAGATTACGCATGCGATAAATGCGAGAAGAAATACGGGCGCAAATCGATTTTGCTCATACACCAAAAGAGAGCACACGAGATACCACGCAACGATTATGAATGCGACAAATGCAAGAAGAAGTATGGACATAGGTCATCTTTGTTTTTCCACAAAAAAACAATCCATGAAGGTCGGAAAAATTACGAATGCGACAAGTGCGAGAAAAAATTTGGACGAAAATCGGATTTACTTCTCCACCAAAAGACTGTCCATGAAGGTCGAAGAGATTTTGCGTGCGACAAATGCGAGACGAAATTTGGGGATAAAAGCAATTTCATAAAGCATCAAAAGATAATACACGAAGGTCATAAAGATTACGCATGCGACATGTGCGAGAAGAAATTTGGACTGAAACATGATTTGCTTGTCCACCAAAGGACAGTCCATGAAGGTCGCAAAGATTTTGCATGCGACCAATGCGAGAAGAAATTTACACAAAAACAGAGTTTACTCATCCACTTAAAGACAGTACATGAAGGTCGGAAAGATTACACATGTGGCAAATGCGAGAAGAAATTTGGATACAAATCGGATTTGTCAAAGCATGTAAAGGTAGTCCACGAAGGTCGCAAAGATTTTGCATGCGATCAATGCGAGAAAAAATTTGCACAAAATTCACATTTGATTAAGCATCAAAGGACAGTCCATGAAAGTCGCAACGATTAAGCATAGCACAATTGCAAAAAGAAATGATGATTGATAATTTTCAATATGTATATAGATACTCATAGTTTTTTAAAACTTTCAATAAAAATTTTGCTATTTGAGTAATTTCGTTGAGCCAAGGTGGAATTCTGAAAATAAGTTAAAAATATTCATGTTATTTCTTTCTCATAAAAGAAGCTATGTGATTGGCTCGAAAATGAGATTGTTTCGCGAGAGGATAATAAATGATTTGGCTCTAGCCAATTTAACAGAACAAAAAAATAATAAATTTATGAACCAAGTTCTCGTCGGTAATTCGACGTTGCTTGACGGCGAAAAAAGCGAGTGACGCGCAACTGTGTCGAAAGCTTGACGGGCTTTCATGGTCCAGCTTGGACTGTCCGATTTGGCTGTAAAGCGGCGATAACTGAACAGAGATTTCGAACCAGACGTCGTAGGAAAATTTGCTTCACATTTTTGGAAAATATATTGAGTTCTCGCGCGTTTTTATTCTCAGTAGCACTGAAAAAAATGAGCTGAGGGCAGGATAACACTCGCATCGACTGCGTAGGTGATTCGGCAGATCATACCCACGAGATATTTTTTTCTTCTTTTTCTTCTTTTTATTACTTATCAACTTCAAGTTGGATTGAAAGACTGATCATTGATAGTGTGAACCCCAAAAACATGTTAAGAGCAGTCTCTTGGAATTTTGTCGATGTAGTAGTCTGAACGTTTATTAGAGCGAGTTTTCAAGTCTCTGAATAATATGTAATTTTTCCCGCGTGGTACTATAAAAATACATTGTGATTTATAATTCCAGTCATAATTTGAGTGAAATATTTTTGCCGAGTCAAGTTTCATTGAATGACCTAATACTGAGTATGGCCAATCTACGGTAGAGGGGGAAAGTATCGTCAAGGAGCTGCAGTGCCGACTGCAAGTGTTTACAAATTGGCGAATTCGAGTTACACTGTTGGCTGCTTGTGAAACTTAACCTTGAATATTTTCTTTGCTTTTATCGTGAAAATTCACATAATGAAGTTACAACTATAATCTAACAATATGGAAAGCCAAGAGGACCCAGTTAGGTATAACATGTTTTTTTGTACATGCCATGATTTATTTGAAGCGATCGTATTATCGGATTTGATTCTTTTTAGATGTTTAAAGCAAGAGCCTATCGATACTTGGCCAGATGTAGGCAACAATTATGATTTCGACTCAATAAACTCTTGCGAAGTCAAAAGCATTAGAAATGTCTCGATTTATAAATCATCAGTAAGTCCAGTGATTTGAATTATCTTCCAATTATCCAGCATCAAAAACTATCATACAATTTTAATTTCAGGCTAATTGCAAAAATGAGGTTATGTCATTACACGAAAAATCAGATAAAAAAATATTCATTGATTTTGAGTGCAAAGATGTAAAACCTGAACTGAAGCCTCCATCAAAAACGTTGTGTAAAACTGAGTATCAAAGTTTTTCATCTTTTGTAAAGATAGAAAACCAGAATGAGACTAGTTATTTGCGCGAAAAAAGTCTAATAATTCTGATTAAGAAAGGATTTAATTACGATGGTAATTATCAATTTCAAGAAAAGTCCAGATTGAATTATGAAGGATATAATAATGAGAAAGTATTAATAAGAAAAACACCTCAAACCAAATTATCTCACAATTATAATTTGTATCGAAAAACGTATAAAGAAAAAGCGAGTCTAAATGCACATATCAATTCGACACAGGAGAACATTCGATCATGTGAATGTGATATTTGTCACAAAGCATTTGGACGCAAAGCTAACCTCAAATTACACACAAATACAGTGCATTATAAAAGCAAACCCTTCGAATGTGATGTGTGCCATAAATTATATGGTCGCAAAGATAACCTCAGAACCCACATAACCACAGTTCATGATCGTATCAAAAAGTTCGAATGTGAGATTTGTCACAAATCATTTGGACTAAAAGGTGACCTCAAGAAACACATAAATTCAGTACATAATCGTATCAAACCCTTCGAGTGTGCCGTTTGTCTCAAGTCATTTGTAGAAAGAAGAACTCTCAAATGTCACATCAGTTTAGTTCATGATCGCAGCAAACCCTTCGAGTGTGAGAATTGTCACAAATCATTTGGATATCAAAGAAATCTCAAAAGGCATATAAATGCAGTACATAATCAGATCAAACCTTTCGAATGTAAAATTTGTCACAAATCATTTGCACAGAAAGGCCATCTCAGTGTTCACGCAAATGCAGTACATAATCGTATCAAACCCTTCGAATGTAAGGTTTGTCACAAGTTCTATACTCGCAAGATTATTCTCAAATCTCATATGATTAAAGTACATAATCGGAACAAACCCTAAGAGCGTGGGATTCGTCTGGAGACATTGGGGCGCAATGAAAACTTTTACAATCGCATGTGTGCCTAATGTAATTTTGAAAAATCTTTTACGTAAATGTAATTTGATGAAGAATAATAATGTTTTTTGAAATGTCACTAATTTTTTTGTGATTTGCTCACAACATTTGTGACCCGATGAAGCATTTTTATTCATTTTTCTCTCATTAGAGCGGTACAGGTATTCAATATTCGAACACATGCGTGATTTTTCAATACATCTACTAAACTCTTTAAATTAATAATTTTAACGGGGGTCAACGCACGAGTTAGCGTAATTACTCAATTACATACATATTTTCATACAATATACATAACAAAATATACGTGCAGATTATGGTGCGGCGGTGGCGGCGACAGCAGCAGCACCAGCAACAGTCGAGCGATACACGGCGGCGACCGGCAACGGCGCCCTATTGCACGCACACACACACACACACACGTTATTACTTTAAAACACACTACTACATATATAACACATATCAGCATCGCCGCCGCCGCCATATACCGCTTACCGTGCGTCAAGCGCGTGCATAAAACAGAGACGGAAGATGTATATATATTCGCACACGGCCGTGTAAAGTCGAGTCGGAGCAGGTCTCTCTCTCTCTCTCTCTCGCGCTATCTCTATCTCTCTTCCTTCTCTCTCGTGCTGTATAGAGGTTGGCGGTGGCGGTGGCGGCGGCGGCGGCGGCGGCGGTGGTGGTGGCCGAGGCACTTCTATATAACCGTATACTATACGTATATGTATATCGAGAGAGAGAGAGACACTCACACATTTATACATCGGCGGCTGTGCGCCGAGTCAGTGAGTGCAGTATATCGTATCGATGTGTGCGCGAATATATGTACACACGCACACGCGCCGCTGGGTTATATGTACGTTACGACGACACGACCGCTGCCTCGGTGTTTCAGTCTGCGTCCGGCCTCCGTCGGTGCCGTGTAGCGTATATAACCCACATTTCTATATAATATAACAAAATACACGAGAAAAACGTACACGCATATATAACGGCGCGTCGTATATAATAAATATATACGTGCATTGTGCGTGCGTGTGAATAAATGAAGCGGAAAACGTGCGCCGAGAAAACGCGTCGAGATTTTTAAAATAAATACACAAAAGAAAAAAAGAACACGCCCGGCTCGTAACGAACGACTCTGTTTTTTTTTCGTTACGAAAATTCGTTTGTTTCTTTCAACCCTTTTACCGATTGCCAATAAACAAACGAATACCTTGATTCTTGGTTATTGTTGTCGCCGTATATAACCATACGTACACGCATCTGCTGCGCTTCGACGAGAGAGAGATACACGGCACGGAATATCGTTGCATATACATCGCTGCGCAAAGTGCACCACTACTCTCGGTTACATAGTCTGTCTCTGTGCTGCTGTTGTGCGAGTCTTTTCTGCTCTCTCGATCTCTTTCTCTCTCTCTGTCTCGCAAGCGCTCCTGTGTGTGAGTGCAGTGCAGTTCTCGTCTACTCTGTGTGCGAGTGTGCAGCCCCGACTCTTTGAGAGGCTGTAACAACGCACACGATTGCACGCCGGGATAGAGCGCCGGGGAGAAAAAAAAATTTCGTACGTTCGAGCTTTAAATCCGTGTCGACTCGGAGTATATACGGTAAATAATAATAAAGAGCGCGAGATAGTCGCTGCATCTTCCTAACGTCCGATCAGATTTCGGTCGTAATTTTGCGTTCTAAACGGTCGTTGTTACGCACGCACCGATCGCGACTTCGATCGTGCGTGAGCATCTCTAAAATGTTATGAAAAATCAGTGTTCCATTCAAGCATCAGTAGTGTGAGTGTGTGTGTGTGTGTGTGTGTGCATGTGTGTTGTATATGTGCGCGCGCGCCTCCCGTGAGCTTTTTTTGTTTTACACTCAAATCTCTCTCCGGCATCGAGATTCATTCTTCTCGAATCGCAGGTGAAAAAAAGCTCATCTTCCCGTCTGTCTCATTGCTGCCTCTCGCAACGACGACACATGTGCGCGAGTGTATCGAAGAGAAAATAACCAAATTTTCCGAAGAAGAAGAAGAATAAAAGAAGAAAATCAGTCGACTCAAATCATCCAGATTTTGCACTCGCACATAAGTACAGATACCAGTATCCGTATACATATATGTTGCTACTCGTCTGCTATGTCTGACACGAGCAGCCGACAAAAACAACAGCAGCAGCAGCAGAAGCAGCAGAAGCAGCAGTCGCGGCAACGTCGAGTTGTAACAGTGGTGGAAGAAGAAGAAGGGTCAGCGTACGATTACTGCATCGTCGCCGTAGCAGCAGCTCCTCGTCTCGTCGCTGCCCAAGTCGATGACAGATTATAGCAGCGGTGCAACGGCAAAGGCGTAGAGAGGGAGACATAGAAGCGAGCATTATTACGAGGTATCTATATCGTTTATTAAAGATAGATTTAACCGGTCTATAATTTTTTTTTTTTTTACATCAAAAGAATTCGCGATATACGCGAGAAGCTGCGGGGTGATAGCGATTATAGGCATCGTCGTCGTCGTCGGACGTATATCGTAACGCGAAAAAGACCACAGCTGCAGCCGGGAGAGTCACACCCGTGTGTGTATAGAGATGCATCTAGACTCATATACGAACGAACCGCATACACATACACATCGACGCGCGCAAAGAGACGTTGCACTGCGTGTCGGTCCGCGCCCCTGCTGCAGTTTAGCTCTAGGTTCGTATCGCAATATAATTGTGAGAGATAAATTTGTAAAGTGCAGGTGTGCGTAAAATAATACAATTCAAAATGAGTCGAGTAAAAGAGACGATACGATTTTTTCGCTGCTCTTGTGGGATAATGTATATATCTCGAAAATCGATGGGCCGGCGTGCGCGCTCGCGACTGTCGATACATAACTGCAAACACATACACACGTACATAGACAAATATATGCATAAGTGCGTGTGCACGTAATAACACTTCGGTTGGGAAGTTGGATCTACTGCGCGTTACATACGGTGTGTGCAGCAGTCTGCAGCAGCAGCAGCATACAGAGTGCGCGAGACTTTGACATGCACCAACGTGTGTGCATACATACGTATATAATGTTGTATACGTATATATGTATATGCACACACAGACACAGTGAAACGCATTGCAATATAGTATATATGTTTAAATAATGTACGGCGCGCGTTTATACACACACACACACAGACACACACGTACACACACGAGCCGATGAAAGTAGGTCGATCTGCGGCGCGAAGAAAGCGAAAGGTGTGTGTGTGTGTGTGTGTGTGTTGCTCACAGTGTGTTGCTGCTGCTGCTGCAGCGCAGGCAATAGTGCACACAGCACATTTGCACAGCTTTAGCAGATCGGGAGAGTATATTACACACACCGGCGAGTGCATAGGTATATATATGAGCGCGTTATATAGTGTAGTTGCTGCCGCTATATAGCGACTGTATTGGACGGAACAGTGCGTTATCTCATATATAAATATATCGTTATTACACATATAAAACAGCATAAACAGCAGTACAAGTTTTATACGGTGTGTCGAACGAACAAACGAACGGACGAACGGACGGACCCATAGACCCATACATACACACACACACATACACACGTATAATAACGGATAGTTTTGTTTTGATGCTGATGCTGCTGCCGCTGCCGCTTCGACTGCAGCCACGGCGACTGCGCAATCGTTATGCACCGGCCGGGAGGCTTGTCTCTCTCTCTCTCTCTCTCTCTCTCTTCCTCTCGCTCGCTCGAGTCGTATGCAGCAGCAGCGGCACTAGGCTACACATATACACGCGATAAAAGTTCGTCCAAGGGAATGGACGTATTTTCCGCGGCGACGGTGTTTTTCCTCTTTTTCCTTTCTTTCGTTATGCTCTTTCTGTTTTTCTCGTCGTTGCATAAAAAAAGCGCGTGAGCGAGCGAAAAAAGAGAGGAGTCGTTTTCATCCATTAAAAAATTTTCATCTCCGTATCGATCGATCGACTGCTATACGTAGCAGCTGTAATGCGCGTTTGCGACGCAATCTCCCGCGCGAGTCGAGGAATTTTTCGTGTGTGCGAGAGTGTTACGCAGTGCGTGGGTGTTGTGAATTATTCGTCTATACGTATCTCGTGTAACATTCGCGCGTTATATAGGTGACCGATTACGAATATTTTTACAACTTTTCTAAATCTTTTTTTTCTCGCCTTGGACCTCTCGTCCCGTCGATGCGTTGACAAAAGTAACGACCGAACACGCTTGCATACATATACATATTTACCTATAAACGTGCATTTGTATACACACTCGTGTACATGTACATTCTGGTGCTTGCATTTCGATGTAACAATAATATATGCGCGCACGCGGCCGTCGCGTAAATATATAATTAATATACAAAATGTATATATGTACGAGTACGCCAGTGCATATATATATTTCGTATACGTATGTATTTTAATGCGGCGTTAAAGCACACACACACACACACATACATACACACGTAAGCCGGAGCGAGTGCATGCGCGCGCGAGCCGACTTATACTACTACTAAACGCCGAGCGAGCGTCGGCGGACTCTTGCTGCCGCTCGCTTATATGCACTTTGTGTGTGTGTGTGTCGACTCGGTGAGTGCAGTAAGCTCTCTCGCGTTGCGCCGCGCGCACACCGAGCTGAAACACCGACACACATGCACACACACGGACAGAGGCGCGCAGACACACGGCTGCGAGAGAGGCACATAGGCAGGCAGCGGCAGGCAGCAGGCAGCAGTCGCCTTGTTTGTGTTTGACACAGATTGTTGAACCCGAAAGAGCTAAAAACTGCGACGCTCTCTTTCTCTTTCTCGCTCGCTCGTTCTCTCGCTCCTATATAGCATCTATACTATGTACGCGTGTGTGTGTGTGTGTGTGTACACGCGCTCGCCTCGTATACTACGTTTTTATAGATATACGTGCGCTCTTTTTTATACGCGATATTTTTCGAGCGTTTCTTCCTCGTTTTCCTTCTCTCTTTCTTTCGAGCTTTTTTTTGAGAAATTTTTTTTTTTTGCCCTATCTCTCGGAAAAAAGGTGGATGGGGGAAGGGATTTTACGTGCATCTTTTATGCGCACGATCGCACGCGCGTATATAGTAGCTTGTATCTACGTTATGCAGCTTCCTATATAACACCGGTCGCTCATACATACGTACGCACAAAAAATGCACGTATCGGTGTGCAAGGATTTTTTTTTTGTAAAACGCGTTTCTTCGTCGGACCGACTCCGAAGCTAAAAGCTTTTATAAATTTCCTTTCTTTGCTTTTCGGTCGAAATCGTTTACCTTCTGGCGCGCGGAGTTTATTAAAGTCCGCGCGCAGCCACCAAAAAACAACTACACGCTGAAAAACACGTTGAAAAACTAGTCGGCTCTTTTTTTTTTTTCGTTCAGTATAGATTTTCCTGACTTATCCGACGTGTAATTCCTCGCTATCGTTTCTCTCTTTCTCTTTCTTTCTTAATTCTTTCGGTCTTATTAATATCGTTGCGCCTCGTGAAAACGCGTCTGCGTGTTTAACTTGAATTACGATAAGAGAGGACAAGATTTACAACTGTTTGAATCGACGTTTATATGTGCGTACGTACGTGCGCACGTTGCGCACACCACAACAACGGAACTATACACAACGCTAATAATACAAGCTACGCGCAAAAATTAATGAAAAAAGGGGGGTAGATGCGATATAAATTTATTACAATATTCTTCGCGACGATAGAAATAATGAGACATTAAAATACAGTCCCTGCCATCCATCGTTTATCAACGAATTCGATATATTTATGTGTGCACGAAAGAAAAAAAAAAACGTCACTACAACAATTGCCAATGTTTAATTTTCCAGATAAATGTCGTGCGAGTAGCAGCGGGCTGCAGCAGTGCCATCTTCTCTCCGACCCAAAGTTTAATCGAGCGAAGCAGCAGCAGCCTCGAGTGCAGCAGCAGCATAGCTACTAATACCAGTGAGAGGCGCTCGTTACTCCGTGCGATCTATCCGACAGTTACCAAACGCCAAAAAGAAAAATTACAAAAATTATTCATTAATATCTCGTCTCGTTCGAGATTCAAAGGGGACATCGACGAGTGCGCGTGTTTCATTGTGTGTATTTCTATATCGTCGTCTCTATCTCCGATTTGTGCGCGTGATTTTATTACCCAGGGCCATTTTTTCGTTGTTGATGTTGTTGTTAATGTTGTTGTTCGTATTTTAATCTAATTAAAAAAAAAAAGAAAAGTGCGGTCCGTTGGATCATTGAAGATCGATCGATCCGATTGGGAAGTGAAACAGCATGATATCGTACCGGTCGTCGTCGTCGTTGTCGTCGTCGTTACTGCAGCAGCGGTATCACGAGCAGACCTCGAGACTCGCGGAAACTCATTTAAATCTGTGAAAACGACAGAAGAAGAAGAAGAAGAAGAAGAGTCGAGTCAAGATTTTCCTGCGGCGCGTGTGCGAACGAGCAGAACAAGTCGCACGGGAGAGATACTGCAACGAGCGATAAAAGAAGAAGAAGTAAAAAGTTACCCGAAACAACAGCGATCGCAATCGAGCCAAGAGAGAGCTCGAGTACACGATATATTATTATTATCATTATAATACGAGTCGTACAAAAGTTTAATCAAGAGAAGTCGAAGGCAAGAAAGAAAAATTGTGCTGATGATACGTGCTGTGATAAAAGTAAAAATAAAAATATAAATAAATCCAGGCGGCATCGAGGATAAAAAAAAAAATAATTGAATTTCAGCGCGTGCATTTTTTTTATACAATATATTAATTATTAAAATCGAAGAAAATCAAAATAAGGAAGTGGTGCAACGAGAGAAGCTGCGAGAAAAAAAAATCTTCCGTCTCTCTGTGCTTTTGGCTGTTTCTTCCCTCGTGTACGCGCGTCTCGTCGTCGATTGTCGCGCGCGTGTGTGAAAAAAGAGCTGTGGCGGCCCCAAGGCGAAGCGACGCAGCTTAGCCAGCCCCCGCATCGAGGAGTGCAGTGGACATGATTATTTCAAAGGATCTCTTCCTCCTCGGCGACCAAGACTACCTGCGCCTTCCCAGCAACGAGAAGCGCCAGCAGCAGCGGACAATGGGACGGCCGATCATCAATCCTCCCAGGTACGTGGGGCAGTTGTATTATTTTGCGCTTCTATTATTATCATTAATATATATCTTCGCGCCGACGAGTCGAAAAATTTCGCTCCAGTCGACTGTACATATATGCATCCACATTTATGCATCGTGTGTGTGTGTGCGAGTAAGCGAGACGACTGCATCCCGTCGTAAAATTTATCGTACGAGCGAGCGAGTACGAGTACGAGACAAAGAAGGGATCCCCCTGAGATTTTCTACGCGCGCACTGCGCACACACCAACACATGTTCGTATAATACGAGAGTCCGGTTCGTGGCAGAGTATGTGTGCATTTAATAATATGCAACGAGCGTTATATAGCGCGTGTGTCTGTGTGCGCAACGATAGTCATTGGCAATAACAATTGTTATTTCTTCTTCTGACTCTCTCTCTCACTCGCTCTTTTTCTTTTATATTGCATTTATTCATAGTCTCGCAGCGCGTTGCACACTGGCATGGCTCGCGGCGGCGTCGGCGGCGATTCGTCTTCCTTTTTTCCATGACCTTTATACACGCACACGCGACTTTATATTGCAAGCGCGAGCGAAGCGCGCAGACGACGACCGTGTGCGCGCACCGATCAGCCGAGAGAAAGAGACAGACAGACAGAGATTATTGCTATATTTATGTTTTGCAAAAAAAATTGTTTATAATAATAATAACGATAAAACTTATAAATTGTAATTCGCATCGTCGAAAACGTGACGATATGCCGCGATCGATCGACAAAATATTTTGCCATGGGATCCTCTTGCATTTTGTCATTATTATTGTATATATTTTAATTTCGGGACGCGTGCATTATTGTATCGTAATTATTGTATTAATTTTTTTGTCTTCGTCTCTTTTTTTTCATGCAACGCCGAGAGATAGATTAGTCACGTTTTTATTGTATATAATAATACACGTAGCCAAAGTCACGCGAATCGTTCGTCGCATTAAACTCTCTGCCCGATAACGATTAAGTATACAAAAAAAGAAAAGAAGATGAAGAAATTAATTAATTAAACGTCATCGAACTGATAGATTAGAGGGGGGGCCTATCGACGTTAAAGAGATACAAAAAAAAAAGGAGAAGAAGACGAGAGAAACTCGATAAAGTGTCAAACGAGACGGAGCTGCATATGGATATACATTAATACACACACATTTACTCCAGCAAGAATGTCGAAGAAAATATATTTTAAACTTTTTTCCAATCGATGTATATTAAATAATTAAATCGAGCGAGTCTCTCTATCTCGCTCGCTCGGTCTTTCCCTACAAGCACCACCACCACCACCACCACCAGCGCCTGATCGTTCACGCACCGCAGCTCCTTCGCTCTGCATATAATGCATCGAGAGAAACGAATTATTATCCTTAAAAGCATAAAACCTGAATTCTCTCTCGCGAGCGGTGGTAATACTGGTTTTTCATACATATACGCTTGTCCAATAGGCGGCTGACGAGCTGCAGCTGTTACTTGCCTTTGAATATATATAGAAATATGTATGTATGTGTGTGTGCGTACAACGAAAAGATTTTCTCAACTTTTTAACGCACACACACACACACACATACACACACTCATACCCGTATTAATGCAAGTATATCGCGGGCCGCGCGCGCAAGCGAGGTAGTCTCTCGCGCCTCGCGCGCCAATTAAAACGTCTCTCGCGGCTGGATAAATGAGAAATCGCTCGACCGCGAGCTCGTCCGCGCACAAAATATTAACTACCGCGGGATGTGTATCGTACGTTACGTCGTACTTTGTTGAAAAAAAAAAAATAAATAAATAAATAAATAAAAAATTGGAAAAAAGTAAACGTATGATCGATGTTTATGACTTTTACGGTCCTCTGTATACGCGTCGTTATAACCGCGTGTGCGTTTGCGCCGTAACTTTCACGGGTCTGTGCGTTGTGCATATCGCGAGTGTATTACCCGCTTGAAGTGACTTTGAATTTTTGAATTAAATATTCATAAAGCGTCGACTTGTTTCTTCTCGCTGCCGTTGCCCCTGTCAACTTTTTTTCGTTTTGAAAATAATTTTATTTAACGGAAGCCACTCGAACGTGTCATAGTATCGATAAATTATAAATTGCGCTCCAAATGAACCAAATAATTGATCGTCACCGATGTATTTACCTCCTTGAATTCATCATAATTATAAAATTTTACTTCCTATAAATTAACGGAAACTTTTTTCTTTTACGAGTTTACGATACTCCATCTATTAGTGAATTCAAAAAGCTTTCATTATGAGAAATCTTGCAACAATATAAACCCATTCCGAAATATTACCAGAAACGCAGATATACAAAAAGAACTGGTATCAACAGTAATATTTAGCATTCACGTAGCAGGTGAACCCTATAAATTCGACTCCGTGACTCTTTTTTCGGACAACATACCAATTTTCACTAGCGAATGTGATAACAACTAACGCAGTGTTTTTCTCTATGTAATATTACCATATTGCATCAACTGCGATACAACTTGAGATATGTGTATGAAAAAAAAAAAAAAATGATTGACCCTGCCAAAAAAAATTCAAAAAGGTACCTCGAACTTCGTTATCGAAAACGCACGCTCCCCGCCGCGATCGGTCGAGAAACTAAGAGGGTCAAAGTTAAAGTTTCTATAAATGTAACGCGAGTCTATATTTAGAATCGTTCGCGAATGTCTCGTCTATTGCTCTCGTTTACAATTACGACGAGTACCGTGCGGACATGCAGTTGGGTCGCGATACGACGCGATACGACCCATATATGATATACGAATACAGAATTTCGAAGATGGAGGAGGAGGAGGATCGTCGTCTGCGAGTTTAAAAAACTGCGCACGAGGAAAAGAATCTTCACCCGACGATAAGTAGGTTGTGTAAACAATAAAGCGTACACACACCTAAATGCACATGTTATACGTGTAAATGTGTGTGTGTGTGTATACAGATATTGGTCACTCGTACACCTTCGCGCGCGGCGGCGAGTTAAACCTTTTCTTTTTTTTTTTTTTTTTTTAACAGAGAGACCGATTTCGTTGTCGTCGTTTGTCGTTCGAGCTCGCGTGAGGTCATGCATGTGAAAATAGTCGGCTCTCGGCAGCTCTGAAATTTTTTCCTCCTTCGTCAATACACAATAAAGTGCAATATATATATATATATACGCTATATGTATTTTGTATATATCATCATCTTTCGCGCGATACGTGGTATTATCCTCTCTCGAAAAGTGAATAACTCGACTCGACTCGATTTTAATCGGTATCGGGTGAGTGGTCGATAATCGATGAAATGGCTATAATACACACACACACACACACAGTGTGCAATTACGAATCCCACCGCGCACACTTACGCACACCCACTCGTGACATATATATATGAAGCAACGTGCGAAGGCACAAAAAAATCGAAGAAAATTATTACTCGATAACGATCGGCGTGTTCCGGGAGCCGTTATTGTTACTACGCGCCTATGATATTAAAGGTATTGCGATAAGGCACGATAGGTCGAAGAAATGAGGAGTATCAATCGAATAGCGTTCTTCTCGTACGGTATAGTGAAAAAATATGAAAATCCTTATCTGAAGCATGAGCATAAATGAAAACCTTGACTTTTTCGAGAAGCAGGCTCGTTACCCCAGGTAGAAATGCTCAACATTTTCTCATTTTTGACTCAAAAGTTTCTTGGGCTAGAAAGAGTCATTAAAACTGAACATATATACTAACCAAAAGTGTAATATTTTACATATTTTCTGGCTGCATTTTTTGTTTCAATGTTATTTTGAAACTATATCTTGAGTTATATAAAATAATTTTTACTTTCCCACTTGCATATTTACAGAACAAGGTACTCGCCATCTAGCGGTGAAGGCTGAAATTACGAATCGATATAATCGTATTTAAAGCAATTGAAAACTGGTCTAAATTTTTTGAAGCAGTTAAATTGTCATTTTCTGGTGGTTGAAAATGTTCATATACTTAAAAAACTTTAAAATGTTCATTTTTTTGTCATTAGGCCATGAAAATTTCTACCAAGGTCGGGGAAATTGTGAAGCGATAAAATTTATTCGAGGGGGTGCATTCGAGGGGGCAAAATTTCTATGAATATTTTTCATTCTAACACCTACTCAACAATGAAGTGAAAAAAAAACGAACATCATTGATCGAAAGCAAAAGTTATTATACATACGCACCTCGCGTTGCGGAGAACGAGAGAGACAGAGAGAGAAGTGAGTCAACCTCTCGGAGCCGAATGACAACCGCGGGCAAAAGAAGAGTTTATTATAACCGTATGTATGTATGCGCCAGCGTGTATGTGTGTGTGCGTCGCAAAGTTGACTTTGGTCGCCGGTAGTAGTGGATCGCGGTTATCTTTATCATGAATTAAGAAAAAAAAGAAGACCGAGCGAGTGAAAGAGAGAGAGAGAGAGAGAGAAAGAACCCAGTGCTAAGTCGAGCCCGCGATATTTCGTTGCGTGAGTGTCGCCTTTGTCTTGGCGACTTCGTTTTTTTCTCTTCCTCGTATACACCTCTCTCCGGCCGCAGCGGACCCCGATCGGTGTAAAAGTCGCGAATGCAAATTACATTTTTACGCATGTCGATCGGCGTCGGCGCTGCTGCGACTTTACTACTCTGCGAACTCTTTCTCTCTCTCTCTGCGGCAGACTGCGGCGCGCGCAGACGAGACGAGACGAGATGAACGCAGCAGCAGCAGCAGCAGCAAAACACAACTAATAGTTGTAGCTATTTTTAAAACTACATCGAGATCAGCTGGCAAACTGTAATGTATATGTGTGACCGTGTGTATACGAGAGACGACGATTTGACAAAAAAATTAGCGACCGACCGATAAAAGTTTCATGAATAAGCATAAGCACGGACGAGAATGAGAGAGAGACACGAGCTTTTTTTCATCTTCTTCTTGTTACAAACAAAAAAAAAATAAAGAAAGAAGAAAAAACGAATAAGTTAGAAGACGGCTACTTCCTCCAAGTTTC